TCTGATCTCTCTGGCTCGGTCTCCTCGTTATCTCCGTCGCCGAGAAAGTGGGGCCAGCTACTTGGTCAGGACGACCAGGCACGGCTCGAGCGAGCAAACGAAGCAAACAGCTCCGAATCTGATCGCAAGCTTACACTCATTGATACGCCATTGGTGGATGGCAACAGCTCCATTTCTCTGACGAAGCCGCAGAGGAACAAACAAACTCAGGAACGACCGACCGACCGGACCAACTCGGCTCTTCAAGGTTACCCGAGAGCCCTATCGGGTGTTTAGAGCTGACTGCTCGGTGGCCGTTTGCTAATGCTGCATCGAAAAGCTTCTCCTCATTTCAATCTCGGTTCGAGTCTCGTCCGGGACGGGAGCCCTCGAGGGCCGAACTGAGAACCTCGAACACGCACGGCAAGTTCGAGGATTTCTCCGCACTATGCGAGAACTCACCTCGATCTCCGAATGACGATGTCTATCGATGGCACGAATGGGGCGAAAATTCCGAACCCATTCGATTCGGTCACCAGCCACCGTCCGGCTCGCGCAATCGGGTCGACCGGAACTCTTTAAGCCTCTTTGTTGATAATAATGAGCGTGTTCTATACTTGTGTCCTATTCCGGTCCCTAAGCCCCTCTTGGTCGATGAATTAATCTGGAGTCACCACGGCGATTCGTCGACGGACTCGGAGCTCAGGGAACCACCGCTCACAATTGGACGGCAGACTCGAGGGTCGATCATTCGCTTGTTATGTCAAGGGATTCGAACTCGCCAGCTCCCAGAGCTCGGAGTGCAAGTCGTTGAGCGCGCAGAGGTCGAATAGAAAAGGTCACCGGCAGAATCGAGGAGAGACATCAATTAAAACGAATCTCAATCGGCAGAATCTTACTCTCGCAGGCACTTGGCACTCGTCTATCGCGAAGCCATTAGCTACGCAGAGGCATTCCGGTGGTTGGGACTGATTTGCCGGCAGGCGATTATTGGGGGAACTTTTGCCATCGGTTCGTCCGTGGTCGATTCCCGTGAAAGGGTCGTTCTCTCGTCTGAAGCCCACCTGATTCAAGTTCGGCGACGGCGCGTGAAATATTAACACATTAATTAATGATAAAATCTCATTCAGGACGGCTAGCTCAGCTCGGAACCAAGCCGACGGTGGCGGGCGACGTCCCGCCTCTCGTGGTCCCCACTGAGACTTGCCCGCTCTTCAGCCGGCTCGGAGCTAACTGCTCGGTCCTCTCGTAATGACTGAGACTTCGTTCCGCTAGTTGCCACCTCCTCAAAGCAACTAATAGTGATTCGCTATTTCGGTAGGCTGCCTACTTGTCTCGATTAGGCAGCGCTAACTCCTCGGTGGGTGTCGTCAACGCTGCGAACGAAAGTCTTCCCGGGACTCGCTCGTGTCGCGATGCTGATTTCGAGTATTCCAGCGTATCGATGCCGTTCGTGCGGGAAGCTTTCGCAGCCCGATCGGCACGAGAGCCCCATCGGGAACAGGCGATATCGACCGGACCGTAGATACCGGACCCAGTCAGTCATTGTGGACGGGAACAGGCAATCGGGAGAGAAGGTCGAACAACGGGCGACGAAGACCGTTCGGAAGCGCTCGGGAGAATTTCGGACCGTCGCTCCGTAGAATACATCGAAAGCTCAGAGAAAACGTGCGGAGACCACCGAGAACGGAAAACAGGAATGAGAGGAGACGGCAGGGAGCATCGAGGAACTAAGGAGTAGGTACTTCTCCGTCATGAGCTGGAGGACGAGGAGAAAAGGCATAAAAGAGAGAGGAGCGTCGCGAGGACCGAAAGAGAACGGCGGCGAAGTACGGCGAGCGGGGAAGACGGACGGTGTGGAACCATGTGGGAAGTTCTGGACAAAGAAAGAGACCCTGTCAAAAGAAAAGAAATGTCGACGCTTGACAAGAGGGAAGTGTTGAATTCAGAACGGGGAAACAGTCGCCTCAGACGAAAGAAGGCGGGACCGACCGAGTATGGAAAGGCTGACGGCGAATGGCTCGCACACAGACAGACGGACGAGAGGCTCTCGTCATCAGCTGCGCGCAGCGGTGAATTGATTCAGTGGTCGCGCTGTAATCTTCACGCTCAGATAGTCAAACTCATTAAAGTGTCGCAAATATGCACCGATACTATCTAGCTGCTGCTTCTGACGCCACTTCTGCCGTCACAGCTGCAGTGGTTGTTCTCCGGTGCCCCTGACTAACTCTCACTGCTCCAATGGCTCCGGGGCGCCGGCGATCGCGGACGAAAGGGTTCAAGCACGAGCAGGGAATGGGGAAGAGACGAATCCCGACCGATTTCATCATGATCGGCTGCCTCGCCAACTTCACGTCAGATCCGACGCACTCGACCTGCACGTGGCAAACAGCCGATTGAAGTTCATCGCTCGCCGTCCCGGTCGTCCTAGAAGCCCTAATCGTATCTCTATGTGTCCACGAGATCGTCCCGTGTGCCCCCTATGCCATTCTCCGACGCTGGTTTTTATTCAATCGATTTTATCGTCATCTCATCTTGCTCCCCGAACAGCTCGAAGCGTGCTCACATGCTCGGTGATCCATCGCTCGCCGGATGAGGCTTTTGAAACTCTGCTCGGACCGCGTCTGTTCGCCCAGGACAGGGGAAAAGCGACGCCGAGGGAGGAAAAGGTGAGCTACTGCGAGTATTCTTCTTTTCCCCACATTCCCACGCCTCGTGATTCCCCTCCGAGCCGGTGGGGCTCTCGGTGAAGCGACTTGTCGTCGTTTTTTCTTTTCAGCCGCATGAGAGCATCATCGACGTGTCGGTCCACTAGTCGCAGGGAGGCCCTCTCTAATTGATGGGTGAACCCCTGAATAACTCGCCGAGCGTAGGACACTGCCACCGAAGATGCGCTATCGGCGGCGGATCATCCGGAAATCGTTTTCACTCTCCGCGTCCGCGGCGCCCACCGAGGCTCGCCGGTACCCATCCAGGGATTCGGGATGAGCCGCAACCGATCGTCTGGTTTGGCTGCCGGTCGCCGTTTGCCAAGCCCGTGTAGCTCGTCGGAGCTCGCCACGATTCCGACGGCAACGTGGCGGACGAATCGCTCATGGGGTTCTTCTGCTTTCAGTCGACTACCCAGTTCGATGCAAGTCGCGTGATGCAGAGCTCGCGTGAGGGGCCTTCGCTCGTCGGTTGCTGTCTCGCGTTTCTCGGCGTCTGCTTTCCCCCCTCGAGTTCTCTCTGCGTGCAGCTCCTTCGGAGGCCTCGAATACGTAAGCTCGGTCTCCGTTGTTGATCGTCGAGTTTTGAAAGCGACTCAATTGCTGGGTAAGGAGCGACGAGGTAGCGAACGAATCGCTCTGGCTGCGGATCCGCGGCCGCTGCGAGCGTCGCTTCTGGTTCCCGGTGGATGGAGGAACGATAGAACGAGTGAAGGGACGAGAGAGAGCGCTCATTGGTGGAGCAACGGGACGGCGGACGAGTGGAGGTAATCAGCAAGGGCAGCTGATTGCTCGAACGATAAACGCCAAGGAGGAAAAACGTCATCAAAGATCTTTAATCAGTCCCGTTCGCTAACTAGCCAACATCGGGAGCTGCCTCGCTCTCTAGAACGCACGCGATGCTCGAAATTCTAATGAGCCAGCCTCAGTCGCAGGTAGTCGCCGAACAAACGGTCGGATGCGCCGACGGACGAGCGCGTGCGTGCACCGCCGGCCACAACAAGCGCCTGGATCGCTGGGCTAAGGCTTTGGAAGCTCTTTTGATTATTCAAATCAAAAGGAAGGATTCGCCTCGGAACGATCGGTCCGCCCCCCCCCGTTCCCCCCCACGAAGGACATCTGTTCGACGGCGCGGTGGCGGCAACGGCCGTAGAGTCTGTTCCGGTGACGAAGACGACTGAGCAGCTTATTGGCGAGATAGATAAAAAGCAAGATGCAAAAAGGAGGAAGTGATTGGCCTCGAAGGGCCGATCCAAAAGAGGAGAAGGTCGCTCGGTCGCTGTCTGGTTCGCAGGTTCCGCCAGGAGGGATGCCGCCCCTTAATGAATCTCCTGAATTATACCCATAAGACCCGTCACCGCTGGCACCCTCGCCAGTCTCTGGCATCGGACCCTGAATAAAAACATGGTATCCTTGCGTTTTGTTTTGTCCTTTCCATCTCCCCGTGAGCCCTCTCGCGAGCTCCTGGCGGACTTTTAGGTGAAGATCCATTTCAGTGACAAGCCTTGGGAGGGGGCGGGGGGAATCTTTATGCTTTTGACCTTCTCATCTTGGCTCTGGCTCATGAGGGATTGAGCGGGAATCGAATTCGTCTCGTCCCCACAGAGGTACGGTAGAGTTTTTTCCTCGGTGATGTGTATGTGGAACGTGTTCTGGGTTGATAGATCCGGATCAAAGAGATTTCTCAGCATTACACATCTCTTGCTCCTCGCTCCCGCTTTTCACCTTCGTTCCCACAAGCACGGCCTGGCCGATCAGGCAGCCGACCGGGCAGCCGACAGGCGGGAAGGCGAGAAAACTGCCACGAGCAGACTTTGACCTCAATTCTCTCCCATCGAATCTCCGTAGGCTGTTGGGTCTGGGAAAAAAATCGGCGTAGACGGGACGAATGTCAGAATAAAGCCTCCGACGGCTGCCCCGGCGAGCCGGCTCTCTCGTATATACATAGTAGAACGTTGGCGGATCGAGATAGAACTCGATACGTCGCTCCAAGGACATATACGGCTTCAATTCCACTGCGTGAGTGAATGACCATCATTGTACTTGCTCATTGTCCCTCTCTCTCCGTGTCTTTTGAAACTCCCCGAGACACGCTCTCTACCTCTGGCCTCCTAATCAGATCGAGTGGAGACCAGCGCCGCGACAATTTATCGAGAAACAAGGAGCGTACTGCGCTTGAATCGAGCTCAGCGGAGGAACATTATCCATTCGACTGAAGAAACTGCCGATGTTGAAGCTGGAAACGCTGAGCGAATTCAATACTCCGTGGTCGAATTCAATACAGTGCCGGTGGATGGCGCAAGCCGAACTAACCTTTCGCCGGGGTGTAGATGTTGAGGAAGAGGCAGTCTTCCGACTGGTTGATGAGGTGTCTAGAAATCTTCTTCAGGAACTCGACTCGTGCTAGGGGCATCCTCTGTGTCGCTTGTGATGCGGTCTCATTACTGTCAATGGGAATTTTCTGAGGGCACACGGGCCCGAAATGATCCGCTTCTCGCACATCTTCCCAATGAGGCGAGTTCATGGGTGGCAGGAATCGCAGCGTGCCGATCGGCGGTGAGACGTATGGGATCCCTAGGAACACTTCTACCGGCTGTAGCGTGATGCCGAATTTCGACTCCGGCATTACGACTCTGCCGCGCAATTTTCCGTAATTCGTTTTGACGATTCGTTCACTGGGACGCCAGCCTTGGAACACTGGGTGTGGAGGGGGTGAAGACGCTCCACCGGCTCCGGGGGGTTGAGACGTTCCCGCGGCCATCACGGCGCCCATCAGCACGACGAGTATTTCCGTACGCATGGCCCAGCCGTATAGTGCGACTTTCACCTCTTTCGGAAGACTAGCACGCTTTCCAACGCCCGATTCCCAGCATTCCAACTGTGTGAAGAAACCAACTCCTGCGAAAATACGACTGAACCTCACTGCGACAGTCCTCCTAAGGAATTTTCAGTCTTTGACGCGGTATTAATCCTCGTGCGTTCCTCAGCTGCACACAACACCAGACATGATGACAAACAAGAACAACAGCATCCTTGATTAGCACCGGAAATCAACCGACCCGCCACCGTAGGCGTCTAGCACTTCCAATACGCCTAATTTGTGTCTCTCATGGGCCAGATCCTTGCTAAACGATGTTTGGGCATCGGTCAGAAGGTCCCACAACGGCAACCGACGAAACACGCACAATAGCCGCGACGCACACGTCTAAGCAGGAAGCCGCGCGACGTGCAACCGGCTCGCCGAGCACGATAGAGCACACTGGCCGTGTTCAGGAGCGGGGCATGCGCGCGCTCCGGGAGAGGACGCTCGGGGAAGGACAACATTCTCCACATCCTCCTGAGAGGGTCTGTCTTCTACTCCTGACGAGAAGAGGATGGCAACTAGCTACCACCGAAAGCAGTGGCAGCATCCATTCCGTACGTTACACGGAAACACGCTCTTCAGACCTCCGAGAAGTGCCACAAGGACGCGACATCGCACATTGATTATTATCGATGCCTGTGGAGAGAAATCGAAATCATGGAAACAATGAATCACGAATGGGGACGAAGTTCACTTGATGAATGTCCCCCTCCTCCGCTCCGTAATCGAGACCGAGTCGGGTAGGCCTTTCGGATCGAGCAGTCTCGCCGCTGTCGAATTGTCTGGGATGACTTTCTCTCATCTCTGGGACGGAGCGGTTCGGACTGAATTACGAAATGTTTTCCTCCGAGCGAGGAGAAGACCAGGAACCTTCGGACAGCGCGTTCTCCCGAAGCTCCGATCCTCAAGCCCTCAGACCCTCATAGTAGTAGGTCTTGGCTCCGACCCAAAAGGGCCGAGGTGCGCGAGATCTTCGAGGCTTGTCCTTTTCCCTCGTTCGTTCGTCCGCGATACCGGCAGCGCCACTCGCTATCACTAGATGAGCTCGACGATTCCATTTTAATTTCGGCCTCCATTCCCTCGATCTGTCTTGTTGCATAACACCGATTCTGTTTCTATTCAGCATAGTGTCTGAAAATTGGGGCCCATCGACCCTCGACCGGGACGAGCGAGAACTGACCGTCTCTCTCGTGTCATGATTCACGCAGACAACCCGATCCCTGTCGGGGGAACTTCGGTCGGTCAGCCTCCTCACGCTCCCAAGGTCTCGCCGGATCGACGAAGAGCATCAGCTGATGCGATCTCTCGTCCGAAGCTGTGTTGCTCCAGGCGTGCGGCTCCCGTTCGACACGTGGGTTGGGCGACATTCTTCCTTTCTCCATGTGTCCCTCCCCTTCTCGAGTCTCCCTCATTATTCAATCACTCGATTTCCTCCCGGATCGAGTGAAGGATGATCCCGAGTCATCGTGGCGCGTCGCCCCCCCCCTACCAGCTCCCGGGGGCAGCTTGCCTCTGTTTCAGCCTCCTCCCGAATTTTCAGATCTTGCTCCCTTGTCTACCTCTCCCGACGGGAGCGAGGATCGCAATTAGACGAGTGTATCCCGAAGTTTTATTTGTCCGAATTCGAACAGCGAAGCGGAATAAGAGCAGCCAGCTACTCCGTCTCGACGGCCGTCGAGAGATCTGAATGCTTCTGTCTAGGCTATCTTTCCGATCTTTTTCTTCCTTCCTCGCTCATATTCCTTCCGTCTGACGTCCCCATCGTTCGAAAAACGCGATGACTGAAGTGCGCCAGTGAGGGCAGAGGCATAAATTTGAATTTTCCGTCGCACCGCCCAGGAGGAGAACGGATGTGTGCCCGGAACAAGCGGCGGTGGCGTCTGCTCCTATTTTTTCCGCTTCTTTATTCCCCTCATTCCTTTCTTCGTTTCCGAAGATCTCGCTCCTCTCCTTCTGCTCGATTTCAATGGGATATAGAGCCGCCACCGGCGGCGACCAAACTCCGACCGAAAGAACGCGGAGAAAAGAACGATTCCGCCAGCCAGCCGGCCGGCCGGCCGGCCAGCCAAGCAACCCACGGGAGCAACGGGTCGTCTAGAGGTTCTCATAGACAAATGGCATCGGGAAAAGTCTTTCGGACCGTGCTCAAGTGTGCGTCTCCGGCCCTTGCGCGTCATATTTGCACGCAGTCGAATTTTTGTGGTTTTGCTCAGATTTCGTCGATTTCTCCGTGAATCGGAGTTTCGATTGACGAGAGTTCCGGAAGGGCAATCACTCGCGTTGCGTTCTCAGAGAGATTCCACACTCCCACGTTGAATAGAAACACGTCGGAACCGCCTGAGGAAACTTCCGAAGGCTACAGCCATTACGAGTAGGGTTCCTCGGCGAGTTCCCGACTGAATCGTGACCATCCAGCGATATGAAGGCCTCAATCAGAATACTTTTCCGATTCATGCCGAGTCGAAGCATGAGCTCCCGAGAATGATGACGTGATTGAAAGCAGCGAAAGAATCCTAGAGGAACAGTTCCCCCCACTTCAACAAGAGGAGGTCGAGCGGAGTAGAGGAAACCAGTCAAAAGTTTCGAGCAGGTAGATCTCCAGAGGTCATCGAGACGAAGAGGGACAGTGGAAACGGGAGGGAATCAACAGCCAAATGCGTAAAAATTGGGAATCCATCCCCATTCTCCCTAGAGGAAAGAGGTCAGAAGTCGAGTTACTGGATCTCCGAACTAAGTGGAAAACGGAGCAGGGAGGAGACGACGGATGCAAGTAGGTTTTTCTGCTTCGTTCCCCGGGAGCGGGAGAACTACTTACACCGTGGGTGAACGGAGAGAAAGAGCATGTCTGTAGGAGTTCAGGGCTCAAGGTTGCGTAGCCGGTCACAACGGAATTGGCCGCAAACTCTCAGAAGGAGGTTGGGGCAATCTTAAAGGAAATTTGATTCGGTCGGTCGGTTGCTCGGACGGTGGGATGGTCCGACGGCCGGACCGGCTGGTGGGCACGCCGCTGTCGAGCAGCCGAGACCTACCCAACATGATGCGAGACGAGAGTTATGAAAGTAAACAAAAACATAAGGGTCCCATAAGCGGCCTACAGTTGACGAGATTGAAATCACAAAGCTATAGCAAAGAAAACATCAAAGGACAGCTCCATGTGTTGTGATCGTCTCGCTGACAAGCTGCTCTCAGGAACCGCAGGAGCAATCTGATCCCTCTTCGCGTCCCGTCTTTTTCCCATTGCGACGACTTTCCCCTCAACAAGAATTCAATAGATGCCCGCGTACGTGGAATCGGTGCATCATCATTCCCCTTATTATCTACGGCGATACGATACTGCCCTTGCTGGCTGCTTCCTCGGGAGAGAAAATTCGTCCCCAAGCCCGACTCGCGAGCCCGTGCTGCGTCCGGGTCGCGGGGACGTGGCAGTGCGGGTGCGAGATGTCACTGTGCGGTACGACAGCATTCGCTGATCGCCGTAGGGATCTGATGGACAGATTCCATTTCCGGTTTTTTGCGTTCTCCTGACACGCTAAAGCTCTTCTTGTCCGAATAGGAATACTTCCAGCTCGGCGTTCGGTCTATCCTTCGTCTGTCTCTATGGCAGCCATTGGTTCTCCTGTCTCTGGAGCAGACAAACCAGCCGCCAGCTATCGCTGTCGAATGACGCGAGACGGGTATCATACTCCAGAACACATTGACGTGTCTCCCCCTCGTGAGCTTTGCTCCTGTCAATGTTCCCTCCTTGGTCTGCTGGTGTTTCGTTGACGTCATCGTCTCCGTTGATCTTGTAGGCGCAGGCTCGCTTGAAAAAGTCTTAATAAACAGCTGTCGGCTGCATATGTTGCCGGAACCGAAAAAGCGTCAGACTATCCGAGAAGAGACAGTAACTCGAGGAGCACCCAGGCGGCGGAGCATCAGCTGTTGAGCGGTAAAAGTGCGCACTCATCCCCAACTCGGCCCACGTCAAGAAACTCCAAGCACCTGAAGAAGAAGCCCGCGTTTTTGAGCCGACCGAGCGTCGACCACAAGAACATCCGAACGGATATCGGTGGGGCGTCTTTCGGTAAAAACCATCGTCATGCATCGGGAAAGGAAATCCGACGGACCCCCGCAACATCCACAGGCAACAACGGCGATCTGCACGTGACTTCCGGATCGGCAAAAATCTACGGAAACGGTCCCCCGATAGCCGCCAGAGGAACTGTCGACGACTCTCCCCGGGTGACACGACTCGCTGACGGACGGACGGACGGACGGACGAAGTGACTGACTGTCACCATGCCTGGGAGCCCAGCGACCGACAATAGACGGAGCACTCGCAGCGGCGGACGAGCAGACAAGAAAACGATGTGCTTTGTGAGAAGATAAAGATTGAGAGAGATGGCTCATAAGTGCGGATGGAGCCCGCGTTTCGCCGCAACCACCAGCAGTACCGCAAGCGAGCGGCCGCAAACTGGAGTCTGGGAAGCAAGGATAAAAATCTTTACGAGACCGCCGCTGCCATCGTTGCTGGTAAGGCCAAGTTCCTATTTTTTTCGTCTTTTCTACTACTCTCAGACCACGACGGCGGCTGCCGTCTACTTCACTTTGCATAATGGGCGGCAGAGCCGCGCAGCGCTGACGCATCACATGGCTTGACCAGCCGTCAACAGCAATAGCCAACTTTGCTCCGGGACCGCTAGTAAGCTTCGCCGCGGCGGAGCGGGCGACGGTGGATCTCCACAGACAGTCAGTATTGCCACAAGAATAGATTAAAGCTTTATCTCGGATTGAGTGGAGACATGCCGGAGCATGCATGGCCTGGCGACGGCTACGTCTTTTTTTCTGAAGGTCGTTGATGGAGCTCTCCACGAATCGGTGTACTCGGCGGGCACTCGAAGAGAGAGAGAGAAATCATCACTGTCAACGAGCATCTCGAACATGGGGCTCGAACCGCGTGTAGCAAAGGCTGACAAATTGTTTTCATAATCGGGCGCGACGGCTGACTTCTGACGGCCCCGAGGAAGGTCGGATGCACACATCGCTCCCCATCAAATCCGCGAGAAGAAATTCAGCTTCTGCAGAATGATGACAGAAGATGAGGCTTCAATCCAACATTGTGCGATCAGAAACAAGCTTCCGATTCTCTTTGTCTCGACAGGGGTTGGCGTAAGGGAAATCTCCGAGTCTCGAGAATCCTCCGCGGGGCTCGCAATGATTGAGGGCTCACAAAAAGAACTCCGGTATCGCCAAGCTTCGCATAGTGCGAAGATTCCTCCCAGG